TCCACACTGGCCCCCTGCAGCCGGGCCTGACTGTAGTGCCTGTCGGGCCCGGGACGAAGTGAGACCCTTAGGCCTCTCGGTCTAAAATGGAAGAATTTCGGGCACTTGGGTGGCTCAGTCGGTTAAGCATCTGACTCTTGATCTCAGCTCGGGTCACCATCTCACCGTTCATGAGTTTGAGCCCCACATCGGGCTGATGGTGGCAGGGCCGGCTTGGGATTCTCTCTCTTCCTCTCTCTCTCTCTCTGACCCTGCCCTGCTCTCTCTCTCTCTCAATAAGTAAACTTTAAAAAAATGTAAAACGTAATAATTTCAAGTGGGCAACGGCTGAGTGTTAAACCCGGGCCAGGGGTGACTGCCTGGGTCTTGAGCCCACGAGGCCGGCCTTGGCTGTAGTCCGTTTCCCACGGCCAGAGAGGGCTTTCTCAGGATGTTAATGGGGTCTTTAACCCCTTAGTGCCCTTGCCCTAAACTCCCAGGGGCTTCCCGGTCAACCCAACATAGCATGCGCCCCACCACGTGGCCCTCCCGGCTCGCCGTCCACTCACCTTTTCCCTGCCATCGCCAAGACTCTCCCCTCTGCCTGGAATTTTCTCTCGCCCCTGACCTCCGTGTGATTTGCACCCTGATTGAATTGGACATTCGGTTTTGGCCAGACAGACCCCCGCCTCCCGGTGCTGTCCTGTCACACGCTGGCTTTGTCTTCAGAGTCCTCGCTCACCAGTCTGTGCCGTTGTCTGTCTGTCCCTGACTCGGCCACTTCCAGCTCCAGGACCTAAAACTACCTGTTCCCCGGTCGGCCAAGGAGGATGCCCGGCGCCCGGGCCCCAGCGGCAGGCGGGTGGCCCCGGGCCGCGTCCGTGAGGGCCGTACAGAGTGAGTGGAAACATGACAGCTTCGTGCCTTTGGAGCTGATGAGCATGAGAAGTTTTGTGTGGTTTTGTGAGCATGGAAGGGAAGCAAATCCGAAGACGGCTGCAAGTCAGATCCCCTCCCTGCCCCACGTCCCCCAGAGGAACGGCCCTCCGTGTCCCGGCACGGGAGACCGGGACAAGGGGGTCCCCATCGAGGGGCGTGCCCGGCCGCGGCCCAGGCCAGCAAGGCAGGTGTGTGAGCCCTGACGGGAAACAGCGTGAGAAGGGCCCGGCGGGCAGCGAGCGGTCACGCTTGCCACGCCCGTTTGATTTTAACAAAGCGTCTTGAAGTGTCACCGGCATCATGACCGCACCCCCAGATGAACCGCTGTTCCCTCGTGCCGCCTGACATCCAGCCCTTGTCCGGATTTCCGCACTGGTCCCCGGACGTCTTCCCGAAGCCTGGCTCCTCCGTCACGGCACGCCGACGTCTCTGAGCCCGTTGCAGTGGTTTCTCCAAGGGCAGAACTTTCCTCCCCTTTCCTTCTTGCCACCCTCCGCTCGCCTCTACTTTATTTTTAGTGGGGGGTAGTAACAGCCTTATTGAGCCGTAATTCACACATGAAGCGCACCCACTCAGAGCATACAGTTCCGTGGTTTCTACCGTATTCAGAGTTGTGTGACCATCACCAGGCCACAATAATTCCAGAACATTCCATCGCCCCAGAAAAGAAGCCCCATCCCCATCAACAGCCATCCCACCCCCTCCACGGGCCCCCGAAACCCATTAATCTGCTCCCTGTCCGTGGAGGAGCCTCTTCTGGATGTTTCGCGCACATGGACCCACACCCCACGTGGCCTCTTGTCCGGTTCCCTCCCTGAGCGTCGTGTGTTCGGGGTCCGTCCGCGGAGCACTGGGTGTCGGCGCGTCGCTCCTGCTCGCGGCCGAGGGACGTGCTGTGCGCGGGGGACACGTTGTGCGTATCCGTGCAACGGTCAGCGGGCGCTTGTGTGGTTTCCACCTTCTGGCCAATGTGAGTAACGCTGCTCTGAACACGGGCGTAAGAGTTTTTGCGTGCACACGCGTTTTCCCGTCCCCTGGGCATACGTCTATGAGCAGAATTGCTGGGTCACCTGGGAAATTCTACGGTCACTTGTTGAGGAACCGCCAGACGTTTCCACGGCGGCTGCCCCGCTTTCCGTTCCCAGCGGCCGTGTGTCAGAGTCTGCTTTGTCCACCCCCTCGCCAACACTTGTTATCGTCCGTCCTTTTTCTCACGGCCGTCCTGGTGGGGGTGTAGCGAGTCTCGCTGTGGTTTTGGTTTACGTTTCCCTGATGGCTACTCATGCTGAGCAGCGTTTCATGGGATCGTTGGCTGTGCGTGTATTTTCTTTGAAGAAACGTCCTTTGTGCATTTTTTTACCGGGCTGTGTCTTTTTAGTATTTCATTGTCAGCGTGCCTGCTTTTCGGCTTGGCGCCGACTTGTAAAGAGTCCACCGCTCTTTCTGGACCGTTCTGCAAGTTCCCTCAGGGTGGTCCTTCCCCCTCCCCCCCCGGCCCATGTTTCCAATAAACTGGAAGGTTGGCCCAGGGCTGCTGTTCGGTGAGATTCCTTTTCCGTTTCGTAAGTACGGACGCGTATGATTTTTATTTGCCTGCCTTCAAAGAACGTGTCAAGGGTATGGAGTGTTGGGATTAGAGACCGTTTTAATTTTCCTCTTTATATTTACCTACTCAAAACCTTCATTTCGAAAGGCACAAATAAGACAGAAGAAAAATCACACGTAATCCGCCGCCGGGCTGAATCGAGAGGACGGTGGTGGTTGGAGTAGGGCGTGCCGAAAACCCGCCTGCCGTCTTGTCATCTGCTTTTTCCCGGACGGGAAGCTCGTCTCCGCGTCGTGATTTCCGAAGCGCGAGGGAGCTCGTGCGGGCAGGACCCGAGGCGGCCCCCGCTCCGCCCGGGGCAGGCTGGTCGCGGCGAGATGGCTGGCGTACCGCCCGGTGTCCTCTCCCACCGTCGGTGCCGGCTGGCGGACGGGGCCGGAGGCGGCCTCCGCTGGAGGGGACACAGCTGACGGTGACCGGTGCGCCCACCCCCGCAGGCCACCCGTGAGCTGGCCCGGCAGGAAGAGGAGCTGCCGGCCAGCACTGGCCAAGCCACCAGCGGGAGCTGTCGGGTGTGGGAACCCGGGCCCTGCCACCTTACCTGCGTGTGGCCTCGGTGAACGACGAAAAACGAGTTTAGTGTGTGGAGCGGATGGGTCACCCGCGTCCGTCACGAACGGCAGGGCTGGGGACTGTTGGGTGCTAATGTGCCCGCTGGCAGCCAGCCTGGGCCCTGTCCACGGTGGGCTGGGGGCTCAGGACCCGCGGCTGTGGCCGGGTGGTCGTGTCCAGCGGGGGGCGGGGTTGCTTATCCGTACAAGCTGGGTGGTCAGCGGGATCCCCAGGTCTCACCGCGCCACGCGGTGGGGGTGGCAGGGCTTGGGGTGAGGGGGTGGCAGGGTGCTGGGAGACGGGTGGGGGGCGGCAGGGTAGGGGGTGGCCTGTGGGCTGAGGGCAGACAAAGGCCCATGAGCCTCAGCTGCAGCCTGTCCTCGTGGTGTTAGAGCTGGTGTCTGGGGTGAGGTCCCCGCACAGGTCGGTCTCCTCACTCTCCCGTTCTGCGGCTCCCTGCACAGCTCAGTCCGTGCCGACGTTCCAAGAGGGTCCGGTCAAGGTCTCCCCAACCCCCGCCCCCACCCCCAGGGCCACGGGCTCCCGCAGGACAGACACACCCTGTGTTTCTGCGCAGCAACAGAAGTCGTAAGTGTAAGCGAGCCCTGCACCGTGGCCTCTGGGCTGGAGGGGAGAGGGCGGGGGTTGGGTGGGGATTCGGGTCCCAGGCCCTGGCTGCAGGCGACTGGGCTCGGTTGGGGTTGCGTGCTGCTCAGTCCCGGGCTGCTCAGTCCCCGGGATGGGGCTGGTCAGGGCTCCAGGGGGCGGTCTCCTGGGCAGGCAGCCCGGCTGTGGCTGGAGCCCTATAGCTGCCCTGGAGGAAGGTTGGTGACAACCCCTCTTCCTTTATACAGCCGCGTTTTCCTGGTGGTTCCCTGTGATCCCACCCAGGACTGCTGTCACCTATTGTCACAGGTGTCTGTGGCCTGCCATGCACACTTCAGCTTTGTGGTCGCCCCTCAGGGAAAAGCTTTGGACCTTGCTATGCACACGGGGCGACAGTGATGACCTCCCTCCCCCCCCCCCGCCACGTGACAGGACCCTCAGGGGCCTGGAAGGGGTGTCAGGGCCCCAGAACCTACCCAGCCGGTTCCGATGGCCGAGCAGAGATTCCTGGGCTCGTGCTGCCCTCTGGTGCCTGCGGAGGGGAGTGCCTTTGGGGAGGCTGCGTCGTGTCCTTCCAGGATCGGCGGGCTTCCTGCCCCTCCTTACGTGGGGGGTCTGGTTAATTGCTTTCCAAGTTCTCGGGTCTGTGTGCACTTGGGTTCCGACCTTTCTCAGATCCTGGAGGGAGGCTGGTCTTCGTCCCTCAAGTTTGGAGAACTTAATCTGACGATAGGGACCCTTCCCCAGAGTCTGTCACCAAGCCCCTCCCTGCTTGGGATGGGCCACCGGCTGCCTCGCTGGGTCCCCTTAACCCCTGGAACGCTCGAGTGTTCCATGCGCCGCTCACAGTGGGGCCGCCCGGGGGAGGGGTCCTCCTGCTGGCTCGGGGGTGCACACCGTGAAGGGCACACCCACACACGGCCTCACTCACCTCCGAGGGCCTCTGCCGCGGGCCGCCGCGGGCGTGGGTGTCGGCTCCGAGGTAGACGCGTCGGTTCGAAGCTCACGCTGGCGAACCTGGATCCAAAATCCCCCAGAAGGGCAGCCTTGCTTTCTCGGGGCCCTTGCTTTGAAATTAGTGCTCTGGCCGCCAGCGGTGCGTTGGCTTTGAGAACTAGGGCGCCTCTGTTTTTAATTAGTTGAAGTCATTTTGATTTTTTGTGCCAGTGTGGAGACGGAGTCTGTTCCCAGGCTCCTCTCTGGCCCTGGCCTCCCTGCACGGGCCCTGCCTTTGTCTTCCCGGGGTCGCGGTATCTTTAGCGTGTTGGGAACGGTGGCGGCACTGACGCGCTCACGCTCTCTTGTCCTTCCCTCGCAGGTGTGACGGTCCCTCAGCTGCAGCCATGGGGTCTGAGGATCACGGGGCCCAGAACCCGAGCTGTAAAATCATGACGTTCCGCCCAACCATGGAAGAATTTAAGGACTTCAACAAATACGTGGCCTACATCGAGTCCCAGGGAGCCCACCGGGCGGGCCTGGCCAAGGTGGGTGACGCCCTGGGCCCGGCGCCGCTTTCCACCAGCCTCGGCCCCGTGTGTGCCCCGCGGCCCCGGGTCTGGCGTGACCGTGTCTGGGGGCGGCAGGCACCCATCCGTGGGTTCGCGGGGCCGCTCTGACCTCATTTTCAGCCAACGTTACGGAGTTCCTCCTGTGGGCCCGGCGTCACAAATGAGTTCTGCAGCCCCTATCCCTGTGGGACCCGGTGGCGGGGACGAGCCCCGGGGGCGGTGGCGCTTGGCCGAGGGCAGGCGATGAGAGCCGGCGCCGGGCGCCGCGTCCCTTTCCGCGCAGGTCACACCTGCGCGCACGTATGTGTGTGGGCGTGCCGTGCGTGACAGCAAACACACGAGGACGGTCTGCCTTGTGTCTTTACCATAAAAACCATGGTTTCTTCGTGTTCGTGTCACCCGCTAGTTTGGAGGATTTGTAACCTGTCTGCCTGGAGTTCCCGTCGCTGCCCGTACGACTGCCTCTCCATCTAGGACACCTGCTTCTCTGTTCTTGCAACCCAGGGGTCTGTAAACCTTCTCCACAGAGAGCCAGGCGGTGGGGCAGCCTTGGGGGGGGGGGGCAGTCTCTGTCCCATCACCCGGCTCTGTCGCCTTGGGAACCTGTAAACCGAGAGGCGTGGCCACGTGCCAGTAAAAACAGTACTTGGGGGCACTGAAACGGGAAGGCCGTGGAATTTTCACTTGTCCTGAAATCTTCTTCTTTTGTTATTTTTTCCATTTAAAAGCGCAGAAACCCCAACAAGAAGCGGTCAGCATTCTTGATTCTCGGGCTGTGCGAAAGCAGGCGGCGGGCGGGATTTGGCCCAGGGTGTGCTGCCCCCTGGCTGCGGCGAGGAGAGTGATGCCTTTGCCTTCCCGCCCCTGCCTGGTTCTGGGTGGCTTTGTTGCAAGTGTCGGTCCCTCTCGTGGTGAGGGTCGCGCCTTTGGTCTCAGCCTAAGGAGGCGCGGAGGGCAGCGGGCTCGCCGTGTCTCCTTCCCGCCCTCCTTCTTGATTTTGTTCAACGTACGCGAGACGGTGTGGACACGGTGTTTCCTCCGGGTTGGGGACCGAGCCCCTGCTGTCCCGTTAGCTTCGCTTCTCCCTGTAGCCTCCTTCAGCCGGACACCCTGGGTCCTGGGTTCTCGCAGGTCCGGGGGCCTTCTGCCCAGCGGGCCACCGTCAGGGGCCGGTTTCTTGCCTGCTCTGCCCCATCGAGGCGCCCTGTCGCGGGGGCCCCGGGCGGTGGGCGTGGGCCTCCTCTGCCTTGCCCCTGTCCTTGGCCTACATGTGCTTTCCTGGCACGGCAGCCCTTCTGGTTCGAGGTGTCCCTCGTGCTGGGAGGCGTGGCGAGGTGCCGTCCGGCACAGCTCTGCCCGGAGCCCCGTCAGGCCTCCGCGGCTGTCATCCCTGCTTGTTCCTTCTGCCTCACTGTCTCGAGCTCTGCTTTCCTGGCCTGGATACTTCCTGAGCTTTCTGTGCCTGGTGCCGTGGCGGCTGCGGGCTCTGTGTCCGCTGTGTGGACCGTGTCTGCGCCTCTGCCTTCCTTCGCTCTTGACTCCTCGGCCCCTGAGCTTCCCCTTTGTGCCCTGGTACCCCGGGACCCTGTGGTAAGCTCACGTACCGGTGGAGTCCGTTTTTGCTGATTTAGACGGAAGGAAACTGTTGGGACCGGATGTTTCGCGAGGCAGGTGTTTCTCGAGTCCGTTTTCCCTCTGCCTTCTGTGTTCCATGCTCCTTTCAGGGAGTTTGTTTGCTGCTTTCTCTGACGGGTGGTCACCTACGTGTGCGGGGAGGTGAGGGCAGCGTGGGGCGGACCCGGGCACGTCCTGAGAGACGGCGGCAGTCGCGCCCTCCACACGTGCACACGCGCCCCGGCTGCCTGCCTGCCAGGGACCGCGTGCCGGGGCCTCGAGTCCCTCAGGGGCCTCCCTGCCACTCCGTGGGGACAGGCGGGGACAGGGAGGCGTCCTTGGGCAACCCCTTCTTCTTTCACAGGGGGGCCCTACCTAGGCTCTCAGGGCTGCTGGCTTTTTGTTGTTGTTGTTGTTGTTGTTATTTACTGTCCGTTTATTTTATTTTTGAGATAGAGTGTGATCCAGGGAGGGTCAGAGAGAGAAAGAGAGAATCCCAAGCAGGCTCACACGGTCAGCACAGAGCCCGACGTGGGGCTCGAACTCACGACCCGTGAGATCATGACGTGAGCTGAAATCAAGAGTCGGGTGCTTAGCCGACTGAGCCCCCCGGGCACCCCAGTTGGCTGCTGGCCTCTTTGGAGAAGGGACCTGGTGTCCTCCTGGCCTGAGAGCGTTCTGCTGATGCCCGTGTCCCCTCACCCTGGTCGCATCGGCCTTGACCGCCCTTCTCTGTTGTCTGTCCTTCTTTGTTGTCCGTGTGGGGTGCCGGGACGTTTCTGTTTCATCAGAGCTGTATCTGTCTCTCCCGCAAGGCTCTGTAGGGCCCGGGGGAACGGGCCGGGGGTGTACGTTCAGTAGATACAGCTGGAGCCCGGGCCCAGGACCAGAAGAGGCTCTGGGACTGTCGGGGTGCCCCTGTCACGTTCCCTGGCTGCCCTGTGCTCTGGGGCCAGTGCCCAGCTGGGCCCCTGCCCTCTCAGGCCAGCGCTGGGCCTCCCCGGGCTCCTTGGGGAGCGTGGGGCGGGGGGACCAGGGCGGGGCATGAGGACGGGTCATAGTGTCGGGTCCTGTGGGAGGGGGCAGGGGCTTCCGCGCTCGGGCACACCCCTGGGGACTGTCCCTACGGTCCGGTGGCTCCTCCACCCAGGCCCGCAGCCTGCAAAATGGCTCTGGGGACACGAGGGGTCGGGACAGAGGCTGGCCCCTCATTTCGTTTCCTCTTATGGGGGCTCCCCCCCGCTGCGCGCCTTCTGCCCCAGCTGCCCAGACACCCTGAGCCACCCTGAGCCACCCTGGCACTGCCTCGTTCACCTGGGGAGTGTGGCCTTTCTGTCCCTCTCGGCCTTGGCTGCAGCTCGGCCTCAGGAGCTTCGAGGAGGGGTCCGTCCACTGGCCCGCCAGGCACCGAGGGGAGGAGTCACGGTGCTCCTGTTTTAGCAGATGATACCCGTGAGCGGTTGTGCAGCCGGGAGCCTCCTTTCAGATCCTGGTCTCACAGAGATTTGAGGGTGTCAGGCCATAGCACGTTAGGCCCGCTCCATCACATGCCTTTTCCAGAACCTTCTTAGCGTGTGGCCAGGCCAGTGTAGCTCATGAGGGCCCGAAGCATCCCTCTCTGGTTTCCTGATGTTTTCCACGGCAGTCGAAAATTTGGGAGTGATGCATTTGGTTCGTTTTAATTTTTTTTTTACATTTATTTATTTTTGGTAGAGAGAGACCGAGCACAAGTGGGGGTGGGGGGCAGAGAGAGAGCGGGAGACACAGAATCGGAAGCAGGCTCCAGGCTCCGAGCTGTCAGCACAGAGCCCGACGCGGGGCCCGAACCCACGTACCGCGAGATCATGACCTGAGCCGAAGTTGGACCCCTAACCGACTGAGCCACCCGGGCGCCCCGCGTTTGGTTCCTTTTAGAGCCTTAATTGACGGACCGGCTTCCTCCAAAGGAACTGAATGGGTAGACTCCCCAGTTCCCCTCGGTGAACACATTTTGGACCAGATCCAGGGCCCTTTTCCCGCAGGAGGAAGTAAGTCCAGGCCTCTTTATAAGAGGGGGCGCAACCTCCGTGGTTCAAGGGCCACTCAGGCTCACAGCCCTTCGTCCCAGGACCCGTTCTCCGGGAGAGCGTCTCGGGTGCCCGAACCACAGGCCCTTTCGTTTGTATTTGTGGCATTTCCAGCCTCCAGCGTGTTAGCTACTCGTTATCACCTGACTCGTCTGATTTTTCACTTGAAATCTAAGAAAACCATGGACTGGCAGGCTGAGCCCCGCACCCCGTTGTCATGAGGCCTCACACCAGACATGGGCACCCAGGGCACTTAGCGCAACTCTGGGCACAGAGTAGGAGGGGGGACGTCCCCAGAAAAGGCCTCGATTGAGCAGCCGTGTCCCTATTTAATGACAATCAGGGTTCCCAGCTTGGGCACTGCTGACCTCGAGGTGGGTCATTCCCTCTGGGGGCGTCCTGGGCACTTCCGGGGCCTAAGCAGCACCCCGCATCCACGCCAGGAGGTCGTGACGGCCATGGGTGTCCCCAGAAATCGCCCAATGTCACCTGGGGGCAGGATCCCCCCGGGCGGGACCCATTGCCTTCTTCTAATAGCTGTTGTTATTGACTCTTGGTCTGTCAATAACTCCAGCAGTGTGGACGGTGGAGGTGAGCCTTTCTGCTGTTAATAGGTGACTGGAGAGTAAGTGTTTTCGTTGCCAAGCAAAACGTTTTCTAACACCGATGTGTATAGGGGAGTCCTTGGGGATGGTGAAGGAACTGCAGCCGTTCTGGAAGCCGTCTGCAAACTCAGCATCGGTGTGGCGATGGTCCTCCCTGGCCCTCAGCTGGGCGAGGCTCGGGCCTCCCCAGAGGTCTTGGCTGGCGCACTGAAGGCAGGTTGGTTTAGTTCTTTTCCCAGAGCTGTTGGGTGGCCCGCTGGGTGCCTGGGAAGGAGATTGGTCGTTTACAAACACCTGCCCAGGACAAGGGCCTTCACAGAAGTGCGCCTGGCACCCAGGAGGCCCCTGCCCGGCCCGGAGGCCTCGCCCGGCCCAGGAGGGGTAGGAGGAGGGCCAGAAGCAAGCTCAGCACAGACCTGGGCCCCCTTCCGCCTGGGGCGACACTTCCCGCAGCCCTCGTGTCCCTCCTGGAGAGGGGCGGCGAGGGCTTGGCCCAGAGCTGCAGTGCGCGTGCTTTTCCTGAGGCGGCCCTCCCAGGTCTCGTCCCCCCGGATTTGTGTCATCGTCACCCTCCTGCCTTCGGCGCCTCACTCACTCTTCTGTGTCTTTGCACGTGGGCCTTGTCGTCTCTCTCCAGTCTCCTTGTGTCTTCCAGGGTCCTGGCCCGGCTGGTCCTGAGCTGCAGGGGGCCTGAGGGGCAGTGTCGGGAGGCCGGGGCAGTGGTGCCCGCGGCCCCGCACAGACCACCTGGGAGTTTGATGAAGCGCGTAAAAGGTTCTCGGTGCCCTGAGGCGTGTGGCCCGGACACGCCCCCAGGGGGCCGCCGCTGGTCTCCGGGGCAGGGCCTTGCGTCCGAGGCGCCGCTGAGTCGCCCCTCTCCGTCTTGCAGATCATCCCCCCAAAGGAGTGGAAGCCGAGGCAGACGTACGATGACATCGACGACGTGGTCATCCCGGCCCCCATCCAGCAGGTGGTGACGGGCCAGTCGGGCCTCTTCACACAGTACAACATCCAAAAGAAGGCCATGACGGTCGGGGAGTACCGCCGCCTGGCCAACAGCGAGAAGTACGTGGCTGGGGCTGAGGCCACTGTGGGGACGGGCCCCCGACGCCCGGCCTCCGAGGGGGAGCCACACACCTTGAGGGGCCTCCGTGGCCCCGGCCCTGCACTTGTGGCATCCACGGCACACGCACGCACACCTGCACTGCGTCCCCTCCCTCGCTCCCTGCGTGCTTTGTGCGTTTCCGTTTCCGTTTCCGAGGGCGGTCTCTCTGCTCCCCAGCCCAAGCGGCCCTCGAGGGCAGGGCGGCAACCGCCTCCTCCTGCGGCCCCCACACAGCACCGGCCTCCCGGCCTGGCCTCTCGTAATTGCAGAGTTGAGGATCGAGAGGACCCTCCGAGCCCCTGCTGTCCCGGGTGGTTGACGGGGCGGGACGAGCGGGGGGGGGGGGGGGGGGGCGTCCCAGGCGGGGCAGCCCCATCCCTTATGCACTCAGCCTCCCGGCGGCCATGGGGCCGTGCCCGTGTTCTCCACGCCCCGGGGATGGGGGTGGGCCCCACGGCCACGTTCAGGGTGCTGCTCCTCCCACAGGTATTGCACCCCGCGGCACCAGGACTTCGATGATCTGGAGCGCAAGTACTGGAAGAACCTCACCTTCGTCTCCCCCATCTACGGGGCCGACATCAGCGGCTCCCTGTACGATGACGTGAGTACCGGGGCCCCCGAGACGCTCCGGGGGTGTGACGGACGCCGTGTCCTGCTGAACCGTGGAGGGAAAGGCGCAAGCATGGGACTCGATCTTGAAATGTGGGCGCTAAGACGCCCCGGCAAGCTCAGCTGGGCTTTCTGTCCGGGCTCCGTGCGCGTCCACATGCCAAGTCTTTGGGGGACGGGGGCGGGGGGAGGAGAGAAGGAATCCAGGCGCGTTCGGATTTGCAGAATCTTTCCTACGAAATCATCAGCCCTTCCTGCCCTGATCATTCGCCCTGTCCCTGCAGCTGGACCAAAGCAGCCCCGTCACAAAGTGGTCTTCCGGAGGCCACACAGAGCATTTCCTTCCTTCTGCCAGGGGCCTCCTAATCCCCAGTTACTCTCGTGGTTTTCCTCTTGAATTCCTAGTGCTCCATCATCCGGGAAACCTGGGGATGTTCTAGCCCCCGTGCCGGGCTGGGAGGACCCTGGGGGTGCCTGGGGCAACGGAGGGGCCTCTGCTGGCTCCTCAGCCCTCGGACCTGATGCTGGCCTTGCCCGTCCAGGGGTGTAGACCAGGCATTGGTGGAAATGTGGTGCAGAGGCCCTGCAGAGGTGCTGCTGTTCAGCACGCGAGGGCTTGAGTGGGACCCACCCTTTTCTAGGGGACAGTTTATTAACCCTTATGGGACTTCCGGTAACCCTGGGAAGGATCTACTGGGGTTGATGTCCAAGCTCCTAAGCCTGACTCTCCCCTGGGTGTGCTCTGCCCTGGGGTTCTGCCCTGGGTGGCCCCTCAGCTGCCATGTCTGCCCCCCGCCCCAGATCGTCACCGTGAAGGTCCCTTCTTGCTGGAACACACTTTATCCGCTCAGCCGTGCTCCTCATGACGGCAGCTGGGGGTGCCCCCTGAGATCTGGGCTGGGGTCCCAGCTGGCGTGGGTGGGAGTAAAGCCCCCTCCTGAGAAGGGCCAGGACCCCCCCCCCCCCCCCCCCGAACCCATCAGGACAGGCCGTGACTTGTGGTTCCCAAGAGGTGTGACTGTTGGGTGGGTCCCAGCAGTCTGCCCACCTTGGGGAGCCTGTCTGACCTGTGGCCCGCTGGCCTTCCAGCTAGAGGGTCCCACTGTGCAGCGTGGGTGGGTCTGCTCTCCCAAGCTGGGCACCAAGGGCGTGTCAGGCTTGAAGTGAGCTCACCCCTGGGAACCTGAGGGAGAGGCCCTCGCCCTGGGAGGTCAGGGACCGAGCTTGCTCCTGGTCCTGGTTGCCCCTTCTTGGACCTCGGTTTCCCACATCCAGTGGCTGGTCCTGTGGCAAGGGAGTCCTGGACAAGGAGGGTCCCTCTCCCTGGGACCCTGAGCTCATCCACTTGGCCCGGACCCCAAAGCATTGGCAAGCTTGTGAGGCCACGTGGCCAGGCCTGAGGGCAGAGTTGCGTGCACCCTTGGGTGTGGCGAGGGTCGGAGGACGGGGATCCCAGGGGCCCTGTGGGGCACACACACATTTAAAAAAATTATCATTATTATTTTTTACATTTACATCCAGGTTACTTAGCATATAGCGCAATAACGGTTTCAGGAGTAGAATTCCGTGATTCGTCCTCTACGTATAACACCCAGTGCTCATGCCAACAAGCGTCTTCCTTAATGCCCCTCATCCATTTAGCCCATCCCCCTGCCCACGACCCCTCCAGCAGCCCTCAGTTCTGTATATTTAAGAGTCTCTTATGTTTTGTCCCCCTCCCTGTTTTAATATTATTTTTGCTTCCCTTGCCTTAGGTTTATCTGTTTGGTATCTTATATTCCTTATATGAGTGAGGTCGTATGATATTTGTGTTTCTCTAACTTTACTTAGCATAATACTCTCTGGTTGCATCCACGTTGTTGCAAATGGCAAGAATTCATTCTTTTTGATTGCTGAGTAGTATTCCATTCTGTGTGTGTGTGCGTGCGTGTGTGTGTGCGCGTGTGTGTGTACCACGTCTTCTTTGTCCATTCATCCATCGATGGACATTTGGGCTGTTTGTTTGGCTGTTGTTGATGTTTATAAACATGGGGAGCATGTGTCCCTTCGAAACAGCACCCCTGTATCCCGTGGGTAAATGCCTAGAAGTGTGATTGCTGGGTCGTAGGGTAGTTCTATTTTTAGTTTTTTGAGGAACCTCCAGACTGGTTTCCAGAGTGGCTGCACCAGCTTGCATTGCCACCAACAATGCAAAAGAGAGCCTCTCTCTCCGCATCCTCGCCAGCATGTGTTGCTGCCTGAGTTGTTGATTTTAGCCGTTTTGACAGGTGTGAGGTGGTATCTCATTGTGGTTTTGATTGTGTTTCCCTGATGAGTGACATGGAGCATTTTTTCACGTGTGTGTTCACAATGTGGATGTCTTCTTTGGAGAAGTGTCTATTCTCAGCACGGCTTTCACCTCCCATGATTTTTTTTTTTTTTTTTAATATTTTTAATGTTTGTTTATTTTTGAGAGAGAGACACAGACAGAGTGCAGGAAGGGGCATAGAGAGAGGCAGACACAGAATCCAAAGCAGACTCCAGGCTCTGAGCTGTCAGCACAGAGCCCGATGTGGGGCTCGAACCCACAAACCGTGAGATCATGACCTGAGCTGAAGTCAGACGCTCAACCAACTGAGCCACTCAGGCGCCCCGTCACCTCCCATGATTAACACACAGCTCAGTGTGGAATCCGGAGAAAGTCCTGCCTGACTGCCTGGCCTGGGGCCGGTGTCTCAGGGGGGTTGCAGACCCTGGGGCGGGTTTAGGGCCGACCGCTGGTGCTCGGGCCCTCTGCGGGGCCACGCCGTAGCCTCCCTGTGCTGCCGCCGGCGTCTGGGGGTGGCCGGGGCCCCGGGGTGGCTGGCCGCCAACCGCGCGCTCAACCGTGTGCGGGTCGCCCGCAGGACGTGGCCCAGTGGAACATCGGGAGCCTGCGGACCATCCTGGACATGGTGGAGCGCGAGTGCGGCACCATCATCGAGGGCGTCAACACCCCCTACCTGTACTTCGGCATGTGGAAGACCACCTTCGCCTGGCACACGGAGGACATGGACCTTTACAGCATCAACTACCTGCACTTCGGGGAGCCCAAGTCCTGGTGAGCGTCCGCGGCGGCCGGGGCTGCGGGAGGGGCTGCGGATCGTCTCGTCCGGGGCACACGGGGCAGGGGTGCCTTTGGACGACCCCTCGGGGACACGGCTGGACCCGTGGCCGGGCAGGTGGAAGCTGAGGGGCGTCTGGCCCTGTTGGCTCCAGGGACAGTCTCGGTTGGTGATGAGGGGATATGTGTCCCCAGAAACGAGCTTCCTGCCCCCCTTCCCCCCCAGAGCCTGTGGTTTGCTACCCGTGGAGACTATGGGGGCGGCATCCGCGAAGTGTCTGCTGTGCTGGGGGCTCTCCCTGGGGCCGCAGGCCTGGGGTGGGCGGCTGTGAGCACTGAGCCTCCCCTGGCCTCCCCACAGCGGCTCCAGGCCCCCTGCGGTCAGGGGCGCGGTACACCCACTGGTTTGCCGGGCTGGTGTGGGCGTGCGCCCCGCGGGCCACTCTGTGGGCCGTGGGCCGTGGGCCGTGGGCCCTGCAGGCTGGGCCGAATATCCAGCGCGACCCGTGTTCCGGAATCTCCGAGCCGAGCGCCCCCTTCGCACCCACAGTCTCTGCTGCAGGACAGCCGGAGCCGCCTTCTGTGCAAGGCTGTCTTTGTTCACTGCTGTTTCCAGCAGAGACTTCTGAGCCGGGCTTTGCACCTCCCTGCCTCTTCCCAGCTGTCTCAGAAGGTTCTGTTATTCTGTTACAGTAATCATCACAGCTCAGAGGGAGCTGGGGGCGGGGGGGAGGGGGGGGAGCCCCCCGGGAGCAGAGCGTGGCACTCTGGAGCTCAGCCGAGTGCTTTTGTGTGTGGAGACGGCAGGGGTGGGAGGGGGGTGGTGCACAGCCCGGCTGGGGACTCAGGTAGACCCTGGCCGAGGTACCTCTTAACTTGGTGTCCCAGCTGACAGCTGAGCCCTGAGCGGCTGGGCCTGTGCCCAGAGGCATGGGGGGAGGCCACCCCCGGTCCTTTTAAGTGTCAGGGACGCCCCGGAGCCCTTGCCGAGGCGGGTGGGCGCAGGCGCTCTGAGCAGAAGGCTCAGACTCTGGCAGGAGGCCCCAGGTGGAAGCCAGGCCTCCCGGGTCCAGGTGTTGGCCGTGTGACCACCCTCTCCTGACCTCTGATGCTGGCACGGTGGAACCCCGGCCGTGCTGTCTGGCCGTGGGCTCCTGCCCCGACAGGGAAGGATGAGGAAGCGTTAGGGCTGAACGTGGCCTGGGCTCTGTGTGAGTTTCCCGGGGCGGCTCTAACCGATGACCGCTAGGAGCTTATCACGACACACGTGTGTTCTCTGACACTTTTGGAGGCCGGGAGTATGACCCTGGTCTCACCGGGCTATACCCGGGCGTGGGCAGGGCAGTTCCCACCCCCGTGCCCCAGGGAGGCCCGTCTCCCGCCTTTGCCGGCTTCTGGTGGCACCGATCCCTGGCCCCGCAGCCCCTCCTCTGTCCTCACGGCCAGCAGCGTGGGGTCTGCCTGTCTGTCTGCCTCTGACCCTCTGCCTCCGTCCCGTGACGACTCGTGAGGACGCTGGCCCCCTGGGAACTCAGGGTCACCCCCGCCTCTGGGGCCTCGACTTAATCCCGTCTGCTGAGTCCCTGTCCTGTGTGAGGCGACGTGCGCGCAGTTGTGGTGATTAAGGCGTGGACATCTTTGGGGCCGCCGTCCTGCGGGCCACGGGCCCTCTGACCTGTGCCTCGTGCTGCATTGTGTTACCTCGGGGATTTGCTGGGATCCTGTTATGACTCCATGGGCTTCTTGTTTTCGATCCATTTATCTCTGTGGCATTCTGTGGCTTCGAATCCGCTGTTGAGCATTGCAGCCTCTGGCTGGGAGGCGTTTACCTTTCAGGGAAAACTTGCAGAGAGATGGGTGGGGTTGGTGATGTCCATTTCACAAAGGCCTGGATCTCACACCCCGCGTGGTCCTGAGCGTGTTAGTGGAGGCATTTCCTGGAGGGCAGCGTCACCCCTGGGCTGCCCAGGGCGTTACCTTGTCTTCTCCCCTCCATCCCCACCCCCCCCGCCCCCCGTGGAGGCCCCAGCCCAGGCCCCCCTTGGAGAGGGGCTGCGCTCTGCCCCCACCGTGGCATGGGGTGTGAGGTGCTCCTTCCCCAGAGCCTCTGCCCGGCAGCCGGCGTCCTCCGCGTGGGCCGTGGCAGGCTGAGTGCAGACGAGCAGCCTTCTGGCTCCCCGTACAGATCCACAGGCTGGGGCTGTGTGCGCGTGTACGTGTGTGTGTTCGCATGTGAGTGTGAGGATGTGCGAGTGGTGTTTGTGAGCGTGCGTACGTGTACGTGAAAGTGTATCTGTGTTTGCGCGTACGTGTGTGTGTGTGAAGGTACACGAGCATACGTGTGCGTGAGCATGGGTGTGTACGTGCGTGTGCATGAGTTCCGTGTGTGAGCGTGTGTATGTGTAAGTGTGCGGTCGTGTATTTGTGGCGTATGAGTGTGTGTGTGCCGCGGCCCGGCTCGCTGACAGGATGGTTCCTGGTGCTGCGGGGGCGGGTGAGGGGGGGGGCGTCTCGGTCCTGACCCCGCGTGGCTCCCCCAAGCGCCACTAGATGGCGCCCCCACCCTTCCGCACTGGCTGCCGCTTCCCGCCGTGGAAATTTCCCAGGTTCTTTCATCCTTTTTATGGACTCCCGACCCCGGCCCTGAGCGCCCCAGAGGCCCCCTGGGACCAGCAGCAGGAGGAGAGCCAGGACTGCGGGGTGGGCAGGGGGAATGCTCAGCCCCCCAGCAGACGCCTGGGTTTTGGCCCGGGGCTACTAGCGAGAGGGATCAGAAAGGGATAAAAAAGCCTTTAAAGCCCGGAACGAAACCAATAAAAGGAGCCACTGCTGAGTCCTGGCACGAGCTGGCCAGAGGCAGGTTGAGTGCTGAGCCGTGGCCCTGCCTGAGGATGGGGTGGCCTTGCCTGACGTGGGGCGAAGCGTGGGGTGGGCAGCGCGGGTCACAGGGCAGTTGACTTGGGAAGTGGCCGGGGGAGCCCAGGGAGGCGGCTGGGCCGGGCCAGTCTCGAGAGGTGGGGGCTGGCTTCGAGGGAGACGAGGGGGCTCCGCGAGCTGTCGGTGGGTGGGAGCCGGCCCTGGAACATGGAGGGTAGCAGCCCCCGGCCGATGGGCAGCTGACAGGCAGGACTGACGGACACCCGGCCCTGCACGCTCGCCCCCTGTCTCTAGCGGCTTGGTGTTCTCCAGGCCACAGCCCAGCATTCCATCCCCTGCTGTCCACCCCCCCCAACCCCTCCCTGCCCCGTTGCCACCCCTTCGCCACAACCCAGTCCTGACAGCCCTAGGCAGCAGTCAGCGAGGCAGGCATTGGGCACAGCAGGAGTTTATCTCAGGGAAAGAATGTTCCGGAAGGCAGCTTGACCTTGGTCTTGGTTCTGGTCCTGAAGGGGGATAGATTGCACGTGGAGGTCCCTCATGCTGACTAGGCGTGGCGGGCGGGCCGTGTGGGAGCCGGCTCCCGCACCCCGTCCTCTGCCAAGCTCCCTGCTCCCCCAGCCGGGGCAGCTCTGCTCAGTCACCATGCTGACAGCCTTCCCGCCCTCCCCCCAAGACCAGGGTGCCGGCCCCAGATGCCGGCAGGGCACCCCACACTCATACCAGCTACGTCTGCCGGTGCATCTCCCCGCCAGATGGGGGACCCCGTGAGGGCAGGGCCCTCTGTCTCCTCTGGGTCCCCAGCCCCCAGCCGGAGCCTGGCACAGAGAGGGGGCTCGGTGTTGGGGCCACGGTGGCCCCTTAGCCTCTCGGGAGTGCGGCGCGGCCCCCATGGGAACCGGTCTTCCCGGCGAGATTCCTCTAGGCCACCCCAGACACCAGCCCGGGGGGTGGGCGCCGTGCCTCTGGTCCCCGGGCTGGTGGTCATGGAGCTCATCGGCCCCCAGGAGGGCGGCGCCCCTGCCCGGAGCACGAGGGTGGTGGGGAGTGGGGGGGCGGGGGCTGCTCCCTGGCACGTGGCTCCCAAGCACCTGTCTCCCTGATTGAGCCGCCCCGCTCGCGTCAGCAGCAGCTTAATTGCAACTGTTTCTGAGTATTCCGGTGGCATCTCTTGTAAGTGTCGCCGTCCTCAGGTTTACGGCGTCTTATGAGGCCTTTCTGGGTCTGTTGCTACTTCGGTAGTGATTTGTGTGTCACGGCGGCGGGAACAGCCTGGTGTCGGTAAAAGCACGGAATTGCTTCAAGAGGCCGGCATTAGGTAGTGCCGTCAGGCAGAGGGCTGAGAACCTCCGCCGCGTTCGAGTGCTTCAAAACCCCTTTTGAGATGGGATTTAAATAGACCCGGCACTTGCAACCCCCTCCCGCCCGCCGGCCTCCCCGGGGCCCGGTCAGTCAGCGAGGCCAGCAGGGGTGGGCACGAGCCCGCGGGGGACGGCTGGGCCATTCGGCCCCGATTCGGGTGGCTCGGCCCGTGCCCGGGGGGCTCGGTGTCCAGAGAGGGGAGCCGGACGCCTGCCCTGGACCCGGGCCTTCCCGGAGCCCCTGGTGGCCGTTTAGCTGGAGGTGACGTCCCACGGCCTGTCCCGGGGCCCCTGCACCAGATGGGCCCCCGCAGCCATTCCCCGAATGATCTGGCCCCTGTGGGTCCCGAGGCTCGTCGGCTTGCGGGAGGGGCCCTGTGATACACCCAGCTGGCCCGTTTCTGTTTCGCAGATGCAGGCCCGCGCAGGGCATAGCGTTTCCGACAGCACTGCCCCCCCACCACTCCCCTGCGCCCGTGGGACGGGGTGGGGTGGGGGGTGGGGGAGTAGGTGGAGGATGTGCCTCCCAGAGGCCTACTCAGGGCCCCTGGGCGGGGACAGCTAGCGTTGGCCCCAGTGTTTGGGCCCCGACCGTGGCCTTCAGGCCCGTGACCCAGCAGCCTCCCCCGAGCGCGGGGCGCTGCCGCAGTTTCCCCACTGCTTCCCCAGCGCCTCCCTCCTGCTCTCTTTGCCTGGGATGCGGTCTTTCGGGTCATCCTCACGCGCCCCGGCGGGGAGCACGCGTCCTCAGAGCCGTAC